ATTGGGTTGGAGGAGAGCGAGGTGTTTAGTGGGGTTATGCCGGGCGCGAAGGCGGATATTGTGGCGGGGTTGCAAAGGCGGCGTTCTTCCGGGAGGGTAAAGAGGGCCGGATTCGCAAGGCAAGGGCGCCCGTGCTCTGCCCTCGCCCTATCTTCCGCCACGGAAGGTTCATGCGAAAGCGAGCCGATGTGGACCCTTACTCATTTGCTCGCGCATCGCCTTCACTGACGCTCGCTATCTTTCGCCAATGGAAAGGCGACGGGAAAGGTGTGGACCTGGACCTTAAGCGGCCCTCGTTTTCCGTCTCGCCGGCCCGGCGCCTTCGCAGTTTTTTCATCCCCAGTTCTGTTTTTTCAACAGCTATTCCATCTGTTCGACGCTCAAGACTGGGTGCGAACGTGCTCGCAAAGGCACACTCTTAATTGAAAGGGCGCAAAAGATAAAAAAGGCAGACTGGGGACGGCAAGACAGGGGCGGGGATGCCATAGAGGGGGGGAAGGATGCAGGGAAGGGGGAGTACCCGCAAAGCGAGACGGGGTGCGCCGTGCACATCCACCTGCTTGGGGAGACTACAGTCGCTTGCGAGGGTCGATCCCGTGCCTCGGTCCTCCACGCAGAGCGGGTGTGGCAGGTCGCTATGGCGAAGGGCTTCTGGAGCACCTGGGTCTTGTAGCACGGTTGCTGTGTTGTATTTGAGAATCGAGAAAGAAAAGAAAAGAGATCTTACAGTGCTGGTCCTGAACCTTCTCCCCCCACCCCCTTCCCCCCGAACCCGCCCTGTGACTGAATGAAGATGAAGTATATCCTCGTTACTGGCGGAGTCATTTCCGGCATCGGCAAGGGCGTGATCGCCTCCTCGACGGGTCTCCTGCTCCGCACGCGCGGGCTTCGCGTCACCAGCATCAAGATCGACCCGTACCTGAACATCGACGCCGGGACCCTGAGTCCGCTCGACCACGGTGAGGGCGGGGGCGGGGTCCACTCGTGAATCGCGGGGGTGTGGCGCGTCCCGTTCGTGAATCGCTTTTTCCTTAGGGTCGCGTTTTTCCAGCGCGGAAGCACCGTCTGTGCAGGATTTGTGACTGAGTCTGGTGTCCGCTTCCTTCCACCTTCGTGACGGTTTAGGCGAGGTGTTCGTGCTCGACGACGGAGGCGAGGTTGACCTCGACCTGGGGAACTACGAGCGGTTCCTCGACATCACCCTCACTCGCGACAATAATATTACCACCGGCAAGATCTACCAGAGCGTCATCGAGCGTGAGGTAAATGGCCGGTTCCATCTAGCGGGTTCGAGGGGGGTCTTATTCTATCCGGGAGATGTAGGGGGAGGTGATCCCGTTTTCGGAACAGCGTTGCTGAATTACGCCTGTCTGCCCTGCAGCGCAAGGGAGACTACCTTGGAAAGACGGTCCAGGTGGTTCCGCACGTGACGGATGCGATCCAGGACTGGGTCGAGCGCGTCGCGCACCTTCCGGTCGATGACAGCGGGCTTGAGCCCGATGTCTGCATTGTTGAGGTAAGAACGGCACCGGTGGATCATCGGTTCTTTTAGATTACCGAATTCAGGGCGCAACTCACTCCGCCCTACTGCACCTTCGCAGCTCGGCGGAACGGTCGGCGATATCGAATCTGCTCCCTTCATCGAAGCGATGCGTCAATTCCAGTTCCGCGTCGGCCACGAGAACTTCTGTCTGATCCACGTGTCGCTTATTCCCGTCGTCGGGTCCGTGGGCGAGCAGAAGACTAAACCCACCCAGGCCAGCGTTCGCGACCTGCGCGGGCTGGGTCTCAACCCCGATTTGGTAATTGATGCACATGGTTGATTTTCGTTTAAGGATCGCGTGCACCGTCGCATATTGTGATTATTAGCTTCTCATCTGCCGTGTGTCAGATTGCCTGCCGCAGTGACAAGCCCCTCGGCGACGACGTCCAGGGCAAGATTTCCATGTTCTGCCACGTCCCTCCGGAACACGTCATGGCCGTGCACAACTGCAGCTCCGTTTATTATGTCCCCCTCCTCCTCGATCAGCAAGGTCTCGTGAGGATCCTCGAGAAGAGATTGATGCTCACCCCTCGGGAAGACCCTAAATCCACCCACCTTTTCACGAAATGGAAGCAGCTCGCGACTAGGTATGTGAAATAGATTTCGTCTATTGAAAATAGAGGAAATGGGGAGGCGAACGTTGGCTCGATGGGAGGGGAGGGAGAGGTAATCCTAGGAGACCGTACCTGATATTATCATTTCTGTCCTTCTGCGTAGATACGAACGTCTCCATGATACGGTGAACATCGTGCTCGTCGGCAAGTACACGCACCTGAAGGACTCGTACATTTCGGTCGTGAAAGCGCTCGAGCACGCCGCTCTCTCCATCAACCGCAAGCTCGAGATAGAGTGGGTCGAGGCTTCCGACCTCGAGTCTACTACTCAGACATCCGACCCGGTGAAGTTCTTCGAGGCGTGGAAGGTGCTCGTCGCTGCTAGGTGAGCACAGTAGGGGTCGAAAAGAGGGGGGAGCCGGTGACGAGACATGATGTGCTGACAGGCGACGTTTTCTTCGTACAGCGGTATTCTTGTGCCCGGAGGCTTCGGTGGACGCGGAACGGAAGGCAAGGTGGCGGCTGCGAAGTGGGCGCGCGAGAACAAAATCCCATACCTGGGCATCTGCCTCGGGATGCAAATCGCCGTCATCGAGTATGCACGGAACGTTTGCGGGCTTGAAAGTAAGTGTCGTTGCACCCAACCTTTGGGAACACTTGACACACGTTCAGAAGAAGGTTGATGCCGAGGCGACACAGTAGAACTCACCATTATACGCCATTCCAATACACCCACTCCAGATGCGAACTCGGCGGAGCTCGACGAGACAACCCCTCACCCCGTCGTCATTAACATGCCCGAGATCTCGAAAACCCACATGGGCGGCACAATGCGCCTCGGCTCCCGCCCGACCCACTTCACTGAAGCCTCCCGTGGCTCCCTCACCCGAAAGCTCTACAATGACGCGGACATCATCCACGAGCGCCACAGACATCGGTATGAGGTCAACCCGAAGTACGTCGAGAAACTCGAGAAGGCTGGACTGCACTTTATCGGACACGACGATAAGGGTGAGCGGATGATAATTGTGGAAGTGAAAGGTATGTCGCTAGGGGCCTGTGGTAGGATTGGGGCCTAAAGAAAGGGCGAGCGGCTGGCCTGTGAGCGACAGTGCTTGAACGTTAACCAACCTTCCGATGCCCGAATTTGGCACACTCTCAGATCACCCTTTCTTCGTCGGATCGCAGTACCACCCGGAGTACAAAACGCGGCCGTTGACCCCGACGCCCCTATTCCTCGGCTTCGTCCTCGCTGCCTCTGGCCAACTGCAGGATTACGTGAAGGTAAGGCTCATTCCCTGAGTCGGGAAATTTAGCTGCGGTCTCGCCTCGCGCATCACTGATCCCTTTTTCTGTCTATCATAGTCGTTGGACGAAGGGCGCTCTGGAAGCGATGGTCTGAAGCTTGGTCGGTACCCGAGCTTTGGGTCGACCAACGAGTTGGCGTCGTCGGTGGAGGCGGGCAAGACCCCGGAAGTGTGAGCTTGATGGTGGTGCCTCCCTCTTTTGTGTCGATGTGATTTTCGTATTTAAAAACAAGAATAACCAAACTGATCTTGCATCATCATTTGGTTGGGTTTCAACGAGCACATCGCGAAGAGTGAGCAGCAGTCTTTTGCAGGCATCTCCGAATCGTTCGTTGTTCCCTGCCAGGTGAAGCCGGCGATCCCCTCTTCTCCTTTCGCCGCTTATTTCATGGCATGTGATTAGAGGGATCACGTAAGATGTAAGGTTCGCAACTCGCAGGCCACCCGGTCACCGAAGCGTGCCCCCTCTGTAACGTCGTAAGCGAAGCGACCCGTGCAAGTGGCCAGCCAGTCAACCATTATCTCAAGTGCAGTGAAACGTAGGATGATGTTAGCGCAAGAGCAAAAGCTGAGGGAACCCTCGGTCAAGATGTGGGGAAACTGGGGACAACTAGCAGGGCAAGGACCCGGACAAAGTTATTTTCAACCATGATGATTGCTCACTACAGGGATCGAACCTGCGACCTTGGCGTTATTAGCACCACGCTCTGACCATTGGTGGTTCCGAGGCCAAAGAGGAGGCGTGGGCCGTGGCAGCCATTCCGCGCAGCAAAGAATAAACCGACCCATCTCGACAAAGAAGCGAGACCCCCCAGCGAACGCCCTCGAGGGCCCTCGAGGGCGGCGACGATATGAACCCATTGGAGCTCCTCAATGTCATCAGCAACCTGTGGCGCCGCGCCTCGGACAATCCCACCGCGTCCTCTCTGCCGACAACACTAGCGGAAATGGATTCGTACGCTGCGCACTACGAAGCAGTTTCCATGGACCCATCATCCCCGTCCCCCTGCCGTCTCTCCCCGCCACCGTCGCCATCTCGTCCCCCCCACGCGCCCTAGTGCTCGAAGCGGGCATCCTCCTCGCAATGATAAGTCCCCAACGGGGAAAGCCGCTGGCGAGGATGGAATCCGCCCGGAGCCGCTTCGCCCGCTCCACGTCCGCTTTGGGAGACTCCTCGCCCGCCTCTCCCGCACCATCTACCGGACAGGACTCACCCCCACGGCGTGGACGACCTCGCTGGTGGCCCCCCATCTACAAGGGTCAGGGGAGGACGACGGAAATCGCATCTTACAGACCGATCTCGCTCACATCAGTGGGGAGGAAGATCTTTGAACGAGCAGCCCTCACCCGCATCCTCGAGGACTGTGGCGCGGTGGACGTGGCCCAAGCGGGCTTCCGCACCAAACGGGGAACACGGGACCAGGCGTACACCCTCGACACAGCAATCAAACGGATCAGGGACGCCCCTGGATCGCATTGCTCGACATCAAAGCCGCGTACGACAGCGTAAATCGCACCTGCCTATGGGAAATCCTTCGCCGCTGGGGATGCCCGCCCTCTACGATCGCCGTCCTCCAATCGCTCATCGACTGCTGCAGCTCCCGTGTTGTGGTGCCAGTCCCGCACATATTGGCTTGGTCGCGGCCTCCTCCAGGGCTCGGTCCTCTCCCCCGTCCTCTACACGATATTCATCGACGACCTGATCAGGGAGCTCCGCGCAGTGGACACTGGCGTGACTCTGGGCCTCCCGGGGAAGACCGTACGAACCAACGCGCTACTCTACGCTGATAATATCGGGCTCGTAGTCGGTAGCGAAGTCTGCTAAGGGCCTCCCGGAACTGAGGATCTGTGAACGGCACAGCATCGACGCCGAGTTCTTATTTGCACCGCCTAGGTTTGTTGTCATCCCACCTGATACCTCCACCCCACCGAACCCCCTCCACCTCTATGGCTCGCTCCTGCTATTCCAGACCTCCCTTAAGTACCTCAGACTTCCCTTCATAACCACTGGCGGCGGCATCAACCAAAAGGGACACCTGGCAAAACCTCTTGACCGCGCCCAGATGACCATCCTATTGCACCTCTTCTCCGTCACGACCTCAACTTCCTCCGCCGCCCTGCACCTCATCACTGCTCTCCCCTCACTCCACCTATTCCTCGCAAATCTCGATGACGCCACCGTTGGGCACTTGGCATGGTACCCGCTGTGCCAGGACCTCATGAAACGCCCCGCAAAGCCCTCACGGGATGCCCTCATCTGCTGCCTCAAGATGAATCCACTCTGCGTCCTGGTTCCCATCGCCCGTGTTCCTCCCACCCCATACTCAACGACCCTAAAGAGCCTCAACCTCGCCCCCACCGCCATCCAGAGCGAACT